TTCACGCTTCTGCAGCATGAGACGATTTATTTTACTAAAAAAAAATAAATCGTCTCATGCTGCAGAAGCGTGAAAATGTGAAAATATATAGCATAACATTCGAAGTACCCATCCTGATTTGGACTTTTAACATTCGACACAACATAACCTAATTTCAATATGGAGAACAATTCCTTGATTCCTTTGACCAATTCACGAAAGAATTAACTAACTGAACTGTTCCCAAAAAAAGAATTATTTTCATTCTGAATTAAATACAAGAAAATTGCATGCAAGTTTATGCGAGACATTCATTAGAAAATTTGAAACATCAAGTAAAGATTTTAACCGTTTCGATATAATAATGCTCATTTCGAGAATTTATAGCAAAAAGTATTGTTCTCGTCTGTAATCTATCTCCATCGTTTTACATATCATTCTGAAACTGTATACGTTCTGAAATATAATGTATGTTATTTTAGCAAAAATGTAAGTAATTGGTGTATTGTGAAAGTAAAATGCTCAGTACTCACAACTTATGTTTTCATTAGCTCGGTCAATATGTGCAAGGTTAACCTTGGATTATGACAAACTACTGATAAAAGCTAAGTTAACCGGTAATTTACATTTTAGCTTGCAGAATTAATATTAAGATGAACCTATCCTTTAGGAGAAAGAATTCTGTATAGCATAAGGTCATTAGCGCGCCATTAACTAATGTGAATAAAGTTCATAGTATAGCTCGTTGATATGTATCCCCCACCTCTCCCCCAAACTAACTCATAGTGAAATGTCCGTAAGAGCGATCGTAGAGAATTACTGCCCTTTAGCGGCCCGTGGAAAGTCGTTCATAAAACGATAAGCTAAGGTTATGGATTGGCGTACTTTACTACGTGACACCTGTGTCCTCTAATTGTTCGATATATACTTACCTGGACTTACCTGGTCTTTGGTGTCTTATTTTCCGTTGTTTGATTTGTGCTATGTTGTTCAGTAAATCTCAAGTTACGGCAAGTATACTGTGAGAATAATATATATATATATTCTGGCAGTTTCAATATATATGTTCTGGCAGTTTCAATATATATGTTCTGACAGTAGATTCGGCATTTATTGACTTTGTGCAGTCAAGATTTTCTAGTTCTTGAAGTCAAAAATTGAACTTCTAGTTCTATAATTGCTTCACAGCTATAAAGTATATTGCATTGAAGTTCCTTGTTTGTTCGATAAAATTTATTTTATCAATAATAGTTTGAGTTATTGAATTTTACTACTTATGTGTTTGCGACTTGGCAAATATTACTGTATTATAGAAACGGCTGTGCATCATTTTATTTAATATGTAAGTCGGAGTATAATGCTTGGTGATCAAGACAGAAACAGCTTGCTTGAAACTGTCGTATTTCGACCATTATATATGCGGAAATGGTTCGGTTATCCAAGAACAACGTCTGCTAGTGGTTCATTTAATTTTTATTTACTCATATAAGAAATTAATTCCTTATGGACTTGATTTAATTAATTGCTAGAAATTTCTTAAACGACAGTTGTTGCCAAGCTCTGAAAATGATAGAACGCTTTAGAATTGAACGGTGCGCCGTGTGCTAAGTTATTAAGTAAATAATGAATTTCACGCGTTTATGAAAAGATCTAAAATTTAAATGTTTGGAGTTTCGTAGAACTACATTCCCATCATTGCAGATAATGTAAACGACAATAATTTTGCTTCTGTTGATGAACGAAGTACCACCATCATTTCATCCTCTTCATATATCTTCGAAAGACTGAAGGAATTTTACGCTGATGAAAGTATTCTTTTCGAACTACATGAATGGTTTTCCAAAACGTTTTCTAAGACACTTCTAAAATAAGTATGAAGGCTTTAGTTATGATTATGAGTCCACATGTATTTGTCGATTAATCCTTCGGTTAATTGGAAAATTTTCTAGTGACTTCATTTATCTGATTTCAACAATTGTTTTACAGATATGAATTTTGAGAAATGGATAACGTTAAAGGGCATGAAAGTGGCATTTTTTAGTCAAACTGTACTTGGTGTAATCACAAAGATGATTTCAACGAAGGCTAATCAACAAAATATGAGTTTTCCGGTAAATTTGATTTGCAGTTATCTTTTATCTTCAGTCAGTTGCTCTCCACGTTGAAGTATGAATAACTAAAGTCAAAAAAATGGGTCAAAATTTTTCATTTTTTTCTGATTTAATTAGCCTATGAACTTCACTACAGTGTAAAATAAGAGAATCCATAAATGATGACTATATCCAGAATGAATTGAATCGAACTGGATATACAGAGAGTTAAATTTTCAGAACAGTGATGTCAGTGATGGATTGAGGAAGTGTTTAACAAAAAGCATCTTTAGCGGCGCTGTTATGGCCGTCAACATTGCATGCATAATGTATTAAAGTTAAATTTCTTTGCTGATTTATCATAAGTGGATTGGAAGCTTATACCTGAAGCATGGAGGAGATTTTATAGTTGTTTAGGCCAAAAGATCCGGCAGATTACAGTTGCATATTCAAAATCCAATAGAATTCCTTATTTTTATAATTTTGCAGGATATCTATAACACATTTTACAGTATGGCGTGAGCATTTTTCGCTTTGGATTGTTCCGTGCGCTACGAGTAGGTATTTTTAAATTAATATTTGAAAACGAATTAATAAGTAGTGCTGTAAATGGATAAATGAATAATATTTTTGACGCTCGACCTAATTCAGTAACTCAGTATTGTAGCTCATCTTGGGGTGAATGTTAGAAATTGTCGACTCACATTAGGTTAAATGCCACTATCAACATGATTAAATTTTTTTACGAAAGGTTGCCAAAAATTCAGTATGATTTATAGTTTGCTCATTTTTACTGCTCTAAAATATTATAATAATTGCTTTCAAAGTTTTCAGCTGTTATCCCAACTATATTCAGTTACTCTTTGGGTGTGAAGCCGTTGCAAGCAGTGAAAGGTGGACTAATGCTAGGGCAAGTTATTTTATTGTAGTTTGTCATTTTTTCAAAATAAACTCCATACGTGGTGCCTTTCTCTAAATCCGTATAAAGAGATGGGAAGACATAAATTACTAAATCCAGTTAGTAGTATATCTGACTTGTTCCGTGGTCCAGCACAGCATATTCCAAGTTGTGTATTCGCATGAAATTTATTTTAGTCAGTTGTTTTGGAATTGTCGATGGAAAATCAATTACGTATAGTAAATCCAATAAATTTTATTATTCGATTGAAATTCTAAGGATGATTTATAATTAGTGGTTGCTTGAATTATTCAATAATTCTCTCCCGAAGATTCACAAATCTACTGCTTTCTCATGGATTCCAAAACAATCTTTATTTTTCATTTAGAGCGTTATCATCATTGGCAATTGTTATTGCTTCTCAAATTTACAAATTATCAATCGATGAAACATATCAATACCTTAAGAATAGTATTGAAATCGGATTGAGGAAAGAAAAAGAAAGCGAATTGTACAGATTCATGAAAGAGCATCATATTCATAGCAAATGGTTCGGGAAATGGATGTTGAATAGAAGTCGTATAAATGAAGATATTGATGATTAATTATGTTTATAAACACAACTGTTAATGGACATTATGGAATTTCTACAGTTTTAATCGATTTTTAACTTTTGGAAGCATACTTTATTTTTCAAAAAGATAAATTTGATTTATTCCGAATATTGAAATAGTTGGGATTCCTAAGGGATTTCACTTCCTCTCGTTTTTCAATGTGTGCTTTTGTCTTGCTAGTACCATCCATTCCTTTCATGTTAATCGGATGATTGTATACTGTAGTTACCATTGTTGTTTTATAATAATAGGCTATTAATTTAATATTTCGTATATAATTTCCAGACTGCTTGGCGTTTGTCAACTTATCATACTGTTAAATTGCGTACGAATTTTTGTTTTGGTGCCGGTTAAATTGTTTTGTATTCGACTTCGGGAGATTTGTGTAAGTACTCTCTTCCATGCTTATTTCCTAAGTATCAGTTTTCCATGAGATAAAGGAAGTTTAGCAGTAAATATTAATACTGTGATGTTAAGTAGTAAATATTAATATTTTTAGTTTTTTAAAAGACTTATTATGAACTTATAACAACTGGAAATTAGGTCCCGATTTAAATCCGAAAGAAAGGATTGTCGGAACAACATCTTGGAGCACTTATGGATGTGTGATGTGCGCATGTACTGTAAAAAAGTATAATAAGAATTTCATGAAGCAAAACAAATGTAGAGAATTGTAAATATATTTATACATAGAGGGTTGCACCATCCCTGATCAAATATTCCAAATTTCAGAATTATAAATGAAAGGGTGATAGGATGGAATGAGTAAGTGAATGTGCTGTAGCATATGGAATAAGCAGGGTCATTGGCCGTCTAATTTTAAAACTTTTTGAACAACTGAGATTTCCTGAATGAACTGATCAGACAACTTGAGTTTGGAAGAAAATTATGCAAGGAGAAAATTGTGTAGAATTGATTAGACAGTTCTGACAATTCATGGAAATAGATTACATTCTCTAGAATCGCTTCTAAATGTCGGTTTTTCGGCAACTCTTAATAAGGTAATATGAATGGCATGCATTCTTAATAGTGTGGCATAAGTTAAAGTAGTAATAATGCATAGCTTATGTTTACGGGGTGTGACATATCTGGTTGTGTCGGATATAATCTGTAAAAGTTTTGGACAATTAAAATAAATGACTTTTAAGCTCACTGCAGGTTTTTTGTACTATTAACGACATCAAATTCATAATGTTCTCTAGTGGAGACAAATATGCAACGGCAAGTAGAACTCAATATCGGCAATCCAAACAGCATTCAAATATCGCCGAAACTTATGATGCTCTATGTGGTATATCGATACAGTTTGCCCGTAAATATCTCTATTTAAGGACAGATCGAAAGGCCATCTTCCATCTACTGGCAGTTTTTCTGTTATCACTTTTCGCTGCCCTGGTGCCTTTACCCAATCATTATTATTTTGTAAAGGTTGGTTTTTCTTTCCTTAGGTGAGTTTTTGTCTCTTGATGTCTTGTTCTTTTAAGTAGCATTAAAGTTATTCGTTTAATATTGATATTGAACATTTATAGAAGAATAATATATTGAATAATTATTTTGTTAAATTTGGTTGGTTTTGGACCTGTATCGTTGTATGTCCATTTATTTGGTATATTTCGACTGCTATTGGGCAAAACATTTCAGGTGCGCCCTTTAATTGTTCTTTTATGATTAGCTCAAGAGATCCAACCATTTTTAGTCATTTCTATTAAAATACGTAAACGATTCGCAAGTGAAAAAAAGTTTCCTATTTTATACATATTTTCGAAAATTTTTGATTCATGTTTTTCCTATGCAAATATCGAAGTGGAATAATTTCTTGAAGTTATTCTTTTAAATGGTGATTTTCGTAATTCTTTTTCCTTACAATTTTCAAGTTCATATTGCGAGAATTTATGAACTTTAGGGATTGTACAGAATTTAAGCCGTATGGTAATCGCCACAACAATATGGTACTATTGCACTCATGGGTGAGATCTTACTTTCTTTATATTTTAAATTTTTTCTTGCTCTGCTTCTTGCTTTTCATCCTTAATTTTACGAGCTGAAACTCTTTTCCATTAAGTTGTATCAGTATGAAAATATGATAGAGATGACCTTATAGATCAGAAAAATGCTGATTTAATGCTATTTTTTGTTATATCCTTTTAGGTTTCTGGTATTTGAACAAATAACAGGGCATTGCCATGGATCTAAGCTGAGTTCTCGTACATCGTGTGCCATTGATGGTGGTAAGTGGGTTCCTGGCTTTGATATCAGTGGTCATTGTTTTATCCTTATCTACAGTTCTCTTATCATATGTGAAGAAGTAAGTTATTTGTTTCAACCAAAAGGAAATTAATTCTTCATAAGGATTGAGGGAGTTCCCAATTATTCATCCTATTTTTAATTTGGATTATTCAAGAATAATGTGAAAATGAGGAGAGTGTAGAATAGGAATTTGGGCGAATTTGGGCGCTTTTTTCTCCGACATTGTTTTCTATCAACTTTGATTTAATGCGCCCAGTTTTCAGGCATTAGCTTTCCGCATCATAACAACAGTTCATCGCACTCGAAGGATGCAACCGATTAAAAACGAAAATCTTATCAGAATTTTTTTCATCTTCATGTGTGTTCTTCATCTACTTTGGGTAATCTTTCATTTTTGGCAATAAAAAACCAAGGATTACTTTAAAGGAATTTCTGGCTTGTTATTAGTTCGCAGAAGAGTTGACCAGTCACCAACGAACGGTAACGGAATCCTTAAGACGTAATTTATTTTAGTAAAAAAAAAGTATCTGCTAATAGACACACGCTGCATTCTTTTGTTGACGATGCGATGGACTTTTTGACTAAAATATTTGTGAACAAGTCAGTTAGTAATACTACTTATTTCTAATACTATATCGATGTATGCATTTCTTTAAAATTCGCTTACTCGAACTAAAATCCGTTATAGATTAATTAATTCAATGCAAAATTGGTAAATACTCTTCATTTCTTGCAGGATTTTGAACTGTTGATCTCGGTCCTTTACTATCATCACATATATCACAAAGTGATGGGTGCATTGATCGCCATTCTTTGCTGGTACTTTACATATCATATTTGGTACAAGAAAGTTGGAATTCCACCGTTGCCACTACAGGCTTTTAAAGTGATATAACTTACATATAACTGGACATGGCCAAGTACCAAACTACCGAAGAGGATTCCCGACTTCAGTTTAACCATTTTATTCACTCTAATGATTGTCTGTAGAACGTATAGATAGGTCTCTTCTAAAATTATCTTTGGATGTTTATCTTTAATTGACGTAGCTCACCCAAAATGCAAGTGTTCATGAATTTCCAAGGTTTGGTTTCAATAAGTAAAGATTCGCAATGATAATGAGCTTCTAAAATCTTATAATTTTAGACTGCTCTCCCTTAACCTATTCGATTTAATTTACATTCATATGTGCCGTACATTACATTCGTTAAAACAAAACACCCTATTCTCAAGAGTAAGGTAGAATAGTGAGAACGAATAGTCCCCATATGCAAACAATATTGTAATGATTAAAAGATCTTGGAACTTCGGACAGCATATCCATATCATGGGTTGGCTCGTTACTGTGCTTTACATTGCGTTAGGGTTGTAAAGTAATACACATTATTACAGGCTTGTTAAATGATATAACTTACATATAAAGACTTGTAAAGTGATATAACTTTCACATTATATTTTTTTGAAAAAGAAAACACTTCATTAGTGTATAAATGTATAAATGTATAAGACAATTGTTATTGTCTTTGATCGATAAGTTCTTAATGAAGGTAATAAAGCAGAATTCCTTGATGATATTAATGCTAGCTATATTGCATCACTTCTTTAAGCTAATGAACGATAAATAGTAGAAGTGTTACCTTCGCAGAAAATTTTACGAAAAATCTTCAAAGGAATAAGCTGAAAAAAACGACTGAAAATTTCTGATTGAAAGATATCTCATGTTTTTGTATATACTGCAGTGACCAAATAATACTAAATGATACATTCCGAAACATTAAAAGCAGTGTGGCATGAATCCTGATTTCTTTACATGAAAACGCTAAATTGAAATACAAAAAAACCTAGATTAGGAAAATCGCATCCCTCCACGACCCAGAAAAATGCGAGTTAGCAGTTAAATCACGCGGTAACGACATGATCGAAAATCAAATATTTTACTTCATATGAGTAACCTGTATAGTTCATATAAATGGTATCAAACACCAATATATCTCTACATATTAAAAATTACCAGTGATAAAACGGAAAGGAGTTTGGAGCGCACAAAAACAACAATAAAAGATTTCTATCTATAAACTATTCGTCGTAAACCGTGGCTGTTGTTGTCCATTTTTACACAGACTTTCGGATTTTTTGCGCGCTTTCAGGACTTGTACTACTGATAATCGGACGATTTTCTTGACAATTTTTGTGACAAGTTCCAGGGTACAGCTCTTATTGAAACATGGAATGTGTACAAACACAGAACAATTCCTGTCATGTTGAAGTGAGATATAGTAGCAGTATGCGCACAGATACCTGAGAATCACATCGTATTAAGTTCGTTTATATCAAGACTATTAATCATTTATAAAGAATACAGTTCAAACTACCGAGAGCCTAATCAATGGAAGAATTAATGGGATGAATTTAAGGAAGCCATGTAGAGAAAGGCTGTGCCTTATTAAGTGTAAAACTGCATCGTTTTTATGAGGCTTGCTGCTCAAAATGATCAAATCAAATTGTCATAAAATGTTATAAATGATTTATTAACTATCTCAGATTGCATACCAGCGTGAATATGGCAGCTTATCAACAAACTGCATTTTTTCTGATGAAATGCAGAAGAAATTCTCAATCCTTATTCATTTTATAT